CTTTGGATAAAAGCGTCAGCCAAATGCAATGTAATGTAATGTAATGTAAAGTAAGGATGTCGTCCGAATGCCCGGTGTGCAGACTCTTCTATCTGGCTTTGAACAAGCACCTTAAGCACAAACATGTAGTGCGGAACTTGGAGGAAAGAGGCATCATTCTTAAAATGGCCAGTGGCAGAATAAATGTTCGGACCAAACCCTGTCCCATCACAGGGTGTTTGTATGCTGGGAAGAGACTAGACCGTCATGTAACTCATGACCACCCTGAGTTCTCCCGAGAGGAGGTACATCAGGTCCTGGCAAGGCTGAAGCATAGTGTGGCCCTGCAGTTGCTCCATGACCTCCGAGAGACTAATCCTATCATTGGAATGGCTACATCATTGGATATAGACAATGAGGAGGAATACCCGGTGCACCCTCCACCCTTCTCCCCACATACTGAGTGTGACGAAGAGGCAGGCAGGTGATGCTGGAAAATGTGGCATTGAAGGCTCAGAAGGATGCCCTCATTGATGAGGTGAAGACCCTCCAGGCTGAAAAAGGGGCTAAAACCCAGGCAGCAGAGTGCCACTGCTGCTGTGCTTGAGGAAGAGGAAGAATGTATACGATTTAAGGGCCTGGCAATCTCAAGTACCTCCGGCATAAACACAGTAGCCTCCGGCAGCAATACCCCTCTCAAGACCCCGGTCAAGACTGTCATGCGGTCCCCAGAAGCCTCCGGTAGTGAGACCCCTCTCAAGACCTCGTTCAAGACTCTCATGCGGTCCCCAAAAGCCTCCGGTAGTGAGACCCCTCTCAAGACCCCGGTCAAGACTCTCATGTGGTCCCCAGAAGCCTCCAGCAGCAATACCCCTCTCAAGACCCCGGTCAAGACTGTCATGCATTCACCAGCAGCCTCCGGCAGCAATACCCCTCTCAAGACCCCGGTCAAGACTCTCATGCGGTCCCAAGAAGCCTCCAGTAATGAGACCCCTCTCAAGACCCCGGTCAAGACTGTCATGCATTCACCAGAAGCCTCCGGCAGCAATACCCCTCTCAAGACCCCGGTCAAGACTGTCATGCGGTCCCCAGAAGCCTCCGGTAGTGAGACCCCTCTCAAGACCCCGGTCAAGACTGTCATGTGGTCCCCAGAAGCCTCCGGTAATGAGACCCCTCTCAAGACCTCTGTCAAGACTGTCATGCGGTCCCCAGCAGCCTCCGGTAATGAGACCCCTGTATGCCAGAAGACCTGTGCGTCCGTCTACAATAAGCTGAAAGCTAATCTGGCTAAGGACTGACCCTCTCCTCACTGGTCCACTGGGAAGGGACGGGGGAATACCATGCGTGAAATCACGTTGCCTCAGAGCATGGAGACGTACATTCAGACATACAGGGATCATTGTGAGGGTGTTGCACCGACAGTAAAACGGAAAGAAATTGTCTGTCCAAGGTCAGCCGGATAAAGAACTTCCTCGTATTCATGGCCCATGGTGTTAACCGGCTGTCAGACTGGCTGTTCCTAAAAGACACGAAGAGAGTCCGTGGCTGGAGCGAGTATATTTCAAAGACGGGCCTGGGCAGTCACAACATCGCTGTTGTTCTTGAAGAATGTGAACCATTTCCTGAAGTACTTGTCTGAGTCAAAGCTCCGGGGGTGCAGGCTCACCCAGTCTGAAATGACCCACATCATCAGAGAGGTGAAAGCCAACATGAAAGACTTGAAAAAGTCTGTCACTGTCCACCAGTTCAAGATGAAGAGGAACAAGCTGGATCGTCTGCCGAGCCAGGCGGAGCTTCTCGCCGCCATGGCGGCCGCTGAGAAGCGCATCCCTGATCTCCTTGACCTGATGGCTTGCAACCCGACCTCAATCACCCAGTACCTGCTATATGGCTATCTAACCCTCCATTGGAGCCTCCTGTATGGCCACCGTCCGGGTGTGTACGCAAACATGACCAACACTGAGGTCTTTGAGGCGGACAGAAGGGGCACTGCTGAGGGCTACATCATCCACGTGCAGGATCACAAGACTGCCAAGACATTTGGCGAAGCACAGCTGGTGCTTACAGTAAAGGAGTTTAGCTGGGTCATGCGGTGGATGGGTGTTACGTCCCGTCTAGGGGAAGAGGAATGCAACATACACCAGAATAGAATTGGTAAAACTACGAGGTTTATTGTACAACAAGTAAAACAAAACGTAGGAAAAAACGGCCGGGCATAAACAAAAGGAGCCAAAAGGGTGCAGGTTATCTAAAGAACCAACAAAAGGAGGACTCTGGTAAAATGAGCCTGTTCAAAATACAGATAAAGATTTACAACGAAAAAGGCTGTAGTCAATCACAGCTACCTGTGAGTATAACAACTCACGTAACGCTAACCTAAGTTAAACACCATAATTCACAATAGTCACTACCACAAGACGTACACAGTTAACAGCAAGGAGGGTAAGGCGTCTGTACACAACAACAGAGCCTCTCGAATGATGTCCGTCGACCGTCTTTATAGTCCTCCCCCGGAAGGTGCGCGCTGGTTGTACGCTGGGATTGGAGGACGTCGATCCAATCCCCTCTTCGGAAACGCGGGCGGGACAGCCAATGACACCTAGGGAACCGCACAGCTCATTTGCATACTCACAGACAGAATTAATGGCACCAGGGAGCCAGCGGCTGTAACAATGGGGATAAAAGAGGGCTTGTCGGGTCCTCAGAATGAATTCTTCCTTTTCACAACGGGGAAGCATGCCTCCAAGAACCTGAACGCTCACTTGAAGAGGGCTTGGGCTGATGCTGGGCGAGAAACAGCCGCCACCTTCACAATCCTGCGCACTGCCCTGGCAGACAATATCAAGCATCACCAAGATCCAGAGAGCAGGTCGATTCTCGCCAGGTTTATGTGTCACGACGTAAGCACTGCAGACCGGTTCTACGCGAATACGCCTGGAATAAAGGAGGGATTGAAGATCCGCTCCATGTTCAGGGCGGCAGCAGCTGCAGCAGCATCAGCAGCAGCATCATCGGAAGGAGTTATACCGCCGTCAGATACCTCCGAAGAGGACTCAGGGGCGGAGACCAGCGATACCTCTTCTTCAGAGCCGGTTGATACTCCTGATGTGGGGGTAGAGGCCGTGGACTCAACCTGTTTTCCCCGGTGCACCGTACAAGTTAGACGGCTAATATGGCCCCGGGCCCCCGCTAATCATGTTTTTATTATTTTTATTATGTTTATTATGTATATTGTGTATACTGTTTATACTGTTTTTGTAAAAATCGTGTGATAATTAAATAAATAATAAAACATTAATATAACCTTGAAGGTTCCCAGGGGCAGATACAGTGCCAGGTATCAGACTATTTAAACAATGTTTACCCAGGATTCAGACACCTTCCCTGGCTTGTAAAATGTGGTGATGCGCCCTGGAGGTATCAGACTATTTTAAAGAACTTTCCCCCGCCTTTCAAACACTTATTCCTGGCTTTTAGCCTGTCATTATTCACAATATAATTTAACATTGACCCTCTCCTGAAAATGCACATATTCTGTGCATTTCCAAGAGAGGTTCAATGTTAAATGATATCGTGCAAAATGACAGGCTAAAACTCTCTTCCAGACGTTTAAAAACACTTTTCACGACCATTTAAACATTATTTCTGGCTTGTAAAGTGCAGTGATGAGCCCTGGTAGTATCAGACTGTTTAAAGGGTTACCAGGGGCATGAGGTTCTGTTGGGTGTGATCATCTGGGTTTAGTCCGTGGGGGAGTGCTTAAGTCCGGGGGCCCGGGGACTCACGGTGTGCAAGGTCATGGAGGTGTCCATGTCAGGGACACATGCTGGAGGTCATTAGTCCGTCATTCGGGGCTCTGTGAGCCGGCAAAGAGAGGGGATTTACCCGTCGTCTCTCCTGGAAGTGTGAAATAAACAGAGTCCCCATTTTAGGGACACATGCTGGAGGTCTCTCTCCGGAGAGTGGACGTCCATTGCCTCTAAATAGAGGTAAAATTAGGTCTGTCACTTTGGGTAACCGCACCATTGTCGGACGTCTCTTGAGAGTGGACGTCCATTGTCTCTAAATAGGGTTAGTGGGAGGTTAGTGAGAGGTTAGTGGGAGGTTAGTGAGAGGTTAGTGGGAGGTTAGTGAGAGGTTAGTGGGAGGTAAGTGAGAGGTTAGTGAGAGGTTAGTGAGAGGTTAGTGAGAGGTTAGTGGGAGTTTAGTGAGAGGTTAGTGGGAGGTTAGTGAGAGGTTAGTGAGAGGTTAGTGGGAGGTTAGTGAGAGGTTAGTGGGAGGTTAGTGAGAGGTTAGTGAGAGGTTAGTGGGAGGTTAGTGAGAGGTTAGTGGGAGGTAAGTGAGAGGTTAGTGAGAGGTTAGTGAGAGGTTAGTGAGAGGTTAGTGGGAGTTTAGTGAGAGGTTAGTGGGAGGTTAGTGAGAGGTTAGTGAGAGGTTAGTGGGAGGTTAGTGAGAGGTTAGTGAGAGGTTAGTGGGAGGTTAGTGAGAGGTTAGTGAGAGGTTAGTGGGAGTTTAGTGAGAGGTTAGTGAGAGGTTAGTGGGAGGTTAGTGAGAGGTTAGTGGGAGGTTAGTGAGAGGTTAGTGAGAGGTTAGTGGGAGGTTAGTGGGAGGTTAGTGAGAGGTTAGTGGGAGGTTAGTGAGAGGTTAGTGAGAGGTTAGTGGGAGTTTAGTGAGAGGTTAGTGAGAGGTTAGTGGGAGTTTAGTGAGAGGTTAGTGGGAGGTTAGTGAGAGGTTAGTGAGAGGTTAGTGAGAGGTTAGTGAGAGGTTAGTGGGAGTTTAGTGCAAGGTTAGTGAGAGGTCATCATCAGTGTGTAACCTCTGTGTATCATCAGTGTGTAACCTCTGTGTATCATCAGTGTGTAACCTATCATCAGTGTGTAACCTCTGTGTATCATCAGTGTGTAACCTCTGTGTATCATCAGTGTGTAACCTATCATCAGTGTGTAACCTCTATGTATCATCAGTGTGTAACCTCTGTGTATCATCAGTGTGTAACCTTTGTGTATCTCCTTCTCTCTCAGAGCTCAGAGAGCGACAGCGACGAGGCTGGAGGCAGCCTGGCTCAGAGGCAGAGGATCATCTTCTTAGAGAACAACCTGGAGCAGCTCAGCAGGGTCCACAAGCAGGTAATAATACACCTGCTGTAGCAGGTCCACAGACAGATACACCTGCATTAACAGGTCCACAAACAGGTACACCTGCACTATCAGGTCCACAAACAGGTACACCTGCATTATCAGGTCCACAAACAGGTACACCTGCATTAACAGGTCCACAAACAGGTAATACACCTGCTGTAGCAGGTCCACAGACAGATACACCTGCATTAATAGGTCCAAAAACCTGTTGTACTAGGTTTAAGACCCAGAGAGGACCAGGACTCTGAGGGGTTAGGACAGGGGAAAGGAGCAGCTTTTAGTGAATGTCTTAAACTAAATGTCTTAGTGAATGTTTTAATAAATGTTCCCCTCTGTGTTGGCCAGCTGGTTCGAGATAACGCTGATCTTCGCTGCGAGCTGCCAAAGTTGGAGAAGCGTCTCCGGGCGACGGCAGAGAGGGTGAAAGCTCTGGAGGCGGCCCTCAGGGAGGCCAAGGGGGTCGCCATGAGGGACCGCAAGCGCTACCAACAGGAAGTGGATCGGATCAAAGAGGTCGTCCTCTCCAAGAGCGTCTCCAGGAGAGTGCAGACCGCTCAGATCGGTGAGCAACGAATGTCCTGAGAGTCGAGTTTCAGGGCTAACACCAAACCCCAGGAGTCAGATCAGAATCAGATCAGAATACCTTTACTCGTCCCACAGAGGAGACATTTACATTTTTTACAGCAGAAAAGAGCCAAAGACATCTTAATGTTAACTAAGAAGCATGCATACAAAAAATATTAAAGTTAAAAAAATTAAAAATAGACAATTTACAAAATACACATCCTGTAACAGTTCTGACGATTTAGCAGCCAGGAAGTGTCCCTAGTGGCCAAACGGTGGTACTGCAGCTTCACTGACGTCATTATGGCCCAAAAAGGCTTTAACACATTGACTTACATTAAGAAAGAGTTGCTGTAAATCAGCGTTTAATTTTTTTAACTGAATATTCTATCAAGTATGAACGCTCTTATTTAAATCATTGGGCTATAAAAGTTGTAAAATGCACTAAAACCTGAATATTTTATGTTCCATAAAAGACAGAATATGTTGAGAGTTTATAAAAATGTGCAATATTTTAAAAATAAATTTAAATAATTCAAATTGAATTTGGAAAATGTTGTAGTATTTTAAACTCTCCCTCTGCTGTCTCCCTGTAGCTAAGCCAATCAGAGCGGGCCATCATCACCATCATCCCACCTCCTCGGCCATCAGACCCCCCATCAGAGGGGGGGGGGGCGGCCAGTCCCCGCCATCTGCCCCCCCGACAGTAGCAGCCCCATCACAGCAAGTAGGACAGGTGAGTCAGAACTGCTCCATGAATTTCACATCTTTAATATGAATACCTGTTAATGCAGTTTTAACCAAGCTATGAAGCATTAATGTAGGCTGGGTTCAGTTCTCTGATAACGCTACGATGACAACAACAACACTGTGGACATCTTTGTTAACATCAGGTTGTTTAAATAAAGGTTTATCACTTCCTTTCTCCACAGACGACTCTATACATTTCCTGAGGATCTCTCTCACCACTCTGCCTTTACTGGAACCAGATCTGTGTTAACACAACCACAGCTAATCCACCTTAACAGCTAATCCACTTTAACAGCTAATCCACTTTAACATCCATTCCACCTTAACGGCTAATCCACCTTAAATCCACTTTAACAGCTAATCCACTTTATCAGCTAATCCACCTTAACATCCATTCCACCTTAACATCCATTCCACCTGAACAACCATTCCACCTTAACAGCCATTCCACCTTAACAGTCAATAAATGCTAATGTCCTCTTCGTCAGCTCAGAGTCCTGCATCGGGTCGGTACCCGCGGGTACCCGACGGGTGACCCGCAAAAAAAGTGATTTGCGGGTGGTATTTTTTCAAACGCTTTTTTCCGGGTTCGGTTCTGGGTAAAACAAAGATGACGGGTCGGGTCGGGTTGCGGAACTAATTGGCAATATGTGCGGGTGGCGGGGCGGGTTCGGTATTGCACGTCGCGGGTGCGGGGCGGGAGCGGGTCTTGACAAGCAGACCGGTGCAGGACTCTGCGTCAGCCGTCTGTCTGTCTGTCTGTCTCTTTGTGGATAAGTGAGTTTATAATGAGATGAATAACAATCTAAATATTGTGTTTAGTGGCTTCAAAGAGATTCAAACCGAATTCACTGATACTGAGTTAATGACAGGTAAACGCTCCTCTATTCCTAATTATCCAGAATCAAAAAGTCCACTAAAGTTTATAAATCAAAGTGGATCAGGGAAGTTCTGAATGAACGATTCTTAAAATAAAGCACAGTGAAAACTTAATGGGCACAATTTAGACTATATTTTAATATATTCTGAGTAAAAACGGTCTTTTAAAAGTCAGAATTGATCTTTAGTATCTCAGTATCAGCTGGAGGTGATGCGTCGCTTCATGTTCATTCAGACCTTTAAACAACCTGAGAGTCTATGAATCTATAAGATCAGTATTATTTAAACGTGTTTCAGTAACAGCTGTATCAGTGTTTGAGTGTCTTATAAAAGATAACCCACCGTGGAAATAACCATGAGCCGTTAGGAATAACAGATGATGATCAAATAAGTTGGTGTTTGACTATATAAGATAATATCTGGAATAAATGACCATCATTGTGTCATCCAAATACAGTTAAACCAACATTTTGTTAGTGAGCCTTATTTATAATAATATCTTTTAAATATTTAGTCATTTAATATATTACATTTTAATATTTCTTATGTCGTTCTACCTCATGATTTTATTAAACAGTATTGTTATTATTCCTAACGTTGCATATCTTTATTTTCCTGAATGTTTTATCGCACTGATTTTATTTATTTAAAAATATCTAATTTATGAGTTATTTTGTACTTTCTGAGACGGTGATCCTGAGTGTCCGTCATGTTTCTAACGTGTGACGCGTGTTTCTCCGTCTGTCAATGTGTTATAAAGTGATTTCAGTGAAGTGCTTTTATTTTGAAAGGGAGAACCACAGTATGATTAAACGGGGAACAAACTTAACAAAACCTTAATGTTCAAAAGGACAAACGGTGATCTGTCATTGTTCTGAAATAAAATGTTAAATGAAATACGTGTCTTTGTGGTTTTTGGCCAGCAGGGGGCAGCACAGTACAGCGACCCGAAACTCCTCCATCAGGAGAAACAGCTTCAGAAAGGATGCAGATATAAAAACTCAAATGAAAAATATAAGTTGACCAACAAAGGAAGTTGACTGAAAAAAACAATTGACCGAATAAATTGACTAAAAATGATTTGACCAGAAAAAAAGTGGACCAAAAAAAAGTTGCTCCAAAAAAAGTGGACTAAAAGATAAGATGTCCAAAAAATTCAAAGTGGTCAAAAATAAATACAAAGAAAAAGTTGATTCCCAAAAAAAAAAATGTTGGTTACTAAAAGAAGAAAAAGAAAGTTGCGTTGTCTTGTTTTGAGGGGATTGTAAACAACTGAGCTGTCTCTGTCTCAGAGTTAGTCGTCTCATAACTTTAGTGTTTGTTACATATGAAATGACGAGGTTAGCTACGTTAGCTAGCTAGCTTACAGCAGATCTGCAGTAACATCAGAAGGAGTCATGTGACCACATTGTTAAAATAAGACCATAAATCATTTTAGTTTCCAACAACAGAGACAGTTGTTCAGCTTTATCATCCTGAACGTCACCATGCTCCGTTCCTTATGGAAGAGTTTTGGGCCGAAAGTTGACCAAAAAATAAGTTGGCAACCGAACAGTTAAAAGCTGACAATAAATGTAAATAATGAAAAATAAACTGTTGACAAAAAAAATATACACTAGAAAAAAATGTTGACAAAAAGAAAAACAATTTTCAGGCCACCATAGGATACAAACTGTTGTACCTATAACTGTTCTTACGACTTGGTTCTGATCATCTGTTTATTGTTTACAGTCCAGTTCTGTTAACCTGTTTAGCCCCGAGCCTGTTTTCCAGGCCTCAGGCTCCAAAATGACATTCCCAGAACAAATGACCATATCTTCTAAAAGGGTTAAATTAATAATCTTTTTTCTCAAAGCAACGATAAACCTGTGAGTTGGATGCAGAAGAGTCAGAATCAATATAGATGTTTTTATTTTAAATTCAGATTGAACACAGTAAAAAATGTAAATTATAGTGTCCGTCCAAAAATAAACTTACTTATAGTGAAAACCACCCTTAGATGATGGGATCGGATACTAAAAGCTTTAGGAATCCAAAGTACAACATATAATAAGTACCCTGTATCAAGATTGATGCAAAACAAGTGACTTTTGACTTTTTTAGAGAGGTTTAGCAAATAAAACACTTCTGGGGTGATTTGGGTGGATTTGACCTGTCTCTGGAACCCTTCGGTCGATTCCGATGATTGACACCTCTTTAGAACCGTTAGAGCCAATAGTGTGACGAAGTCACGCCCATCTACTTCCGGTCCATGGGACCTTATTTCTGAAAAATAATGTATTGAAGTCAATGGAGAGAGAAAACGTATCTTTCGATCCCATTTGAATTGTGCCATGAATTACACATATGATGTTTGTCAATCTTAAAAAATCATTTCCAGGTCAAAAAAGACACAGTTTGTCGTAAAACTGTTGAAATATAAGACTATGAAAAATATGCAACTAGAATTGTTTTCCTCCACTAAGAGAGAGCGCCATATAGATACAATATATCTATATGGCGCTGGCTAAGATCAGATAACTTTAACAAGATGCCTGTGTGCTTAGTACCAGGTTGTTATCATTCCAGCAATGGGTCTTGCTCGTTCTTTCGCTTCCCATCTGATGAAAGGACCAGGAGTGGCTGGATCAAGTTAGCTACCTAGATAGTAGCTAGCACGTTAGTTAGCATTACAGCCTTGTCATTTTTATTAGCCTTAACATGAAGTAACATCAAGTAACCCAACATGTTAAACAGTAAGAGTAGTAGTCATATTTCGTGAACCCTTTGAAGAGTACTGTCACCGGCGTGATCATTCTATAATACACCATTTAAGCCCGGGGGAGAAATGCCAACGCTACATTAGCATCTGCGATCTGTTCTACTTCACGCTATCTGCACTAATGGTTGATATTAAACATTAAAAAGACCAGGCAGTTCAGAGAGAATCAAAGGAAGGTAGCTCTGCATGACATTCTTCTGGACGTGTTTCCTTGTGGTGATTGAGAGGGTGAGAGGGTGAGGGTGAGGGTGAGGGTGATAGTGAGGGTGAGAGGGTGATAGTGAGGGTGAGAGGGTGATAGTGAGGGTGATAGTGAGGGAGTGAGGGTGATAGTGAGCATGATAGTGAGGGTGAGAGGGTGATAGTGAGGGTGATAGTGAGGGAGTGAGGGTGATAGTGAGCATGATAGTGAGAGGGTGATAGTGAGGGTGAGAGGGTGATAGTGAGGGTGGAGAGGGTTGATAGTGAGGGTGATAGTGAGGGAGTGAGGGGTGATAGTGAGCATGATAGTGAGGGTGAGAGGGTGATATGAGGGTGAGAGGGTGATAGTGAGGGTGAGAGGGTGATAGTGAGGGTGATAGTGAGGGTGATAGTGAGGGAGAGAGGGTGATAGTGAGGGAGAGGGTGATAGTGAGGGTGAGAGGGTGAGAGGGTGATAGAGGGTGATAGTGAGGGTGATAGTGAGGGAGAGAGGGTGATAGTGAGGGTGATAGTGAGGGTGATAGTGAGGGTGAGAGGGTGATAGTGAGGGTGAGAGGGGTGATAGTGAGGGAGAGAGGGTGAGAGGTGAGAGGGTAATAGTGAGGGTGAGAGGGTGATAGTGAGGGTGAGAGGGTGATAGAGAGGGTGATAGTGAGGGTGAGAGGGTGATAGTGAGGGAGAGAGGGTGATAGTGAGGGTGATAGTGAGGGTGATAGTGAGGGTGATAGTGAGGGTGAGAGGGTGATAGTGAGGGTGAGAGGGTGATAGTGAGGGTGAGAGGGTGATAGTGAGGGTGAGAGGGGTGATAGTGAGGGTGAGAGGGTGATAGTGAGGGTGAGAGGGTGATAGTGAGGGTGAGAGGGTGATAGTGAGGGAGGGGGTGATAGTGAGGGTGAGAGGGTGATAGTGAGGGGGAGAGGGTGATAGTGAGGGTGATAGTGAGGGTGAGAGGGTGATAGTGAGGGAGAGGGTGATAGTGAGGGTGAGAGGGTGATAGTGAGGGAGAGGAGGGTGATAGTGAGGGTGAGAGGGTGATAGTGAGGGGGGAGGGTGATAGTGAGGGGGAGAGGGTGATAGTGAGGGTGAGAGGGTGATAGTGAGGGAGAGAGGGTGATAGTGAGGGTGAGAGGGGTGAGAGTGGATAGTGAGGGGGAGGGTGATAGTAGGGTGAGAGGGTGATAGTGAGGGGAGAGAGGGTGATAGTGGTGAGAGAGGTGTGAGAGGTGTGAGGGTGAAGAGAGGGTGATTAGTGAGGGTGAGGAGGTGATAGTGAGGTGAGTAGGGGTGATAGTGAGGGTGAGAGGAGTGAGAGGTTGATCGTGAGGGAGAACGAGAGGGTGATATTGAGGGTGAGAGGGTGATATGAGGGTGAGCGGGTGAGGGTGATCGTGAGGGTGAGAGGGTGAGAGGGTGATAGTGAGGGGAGGGTGATAGTGAGGGAGAGGTTGATAGTGAGGGTGAGAGGGTGAGAGGGTGATAGTGAGGGAGAGGGTGATAGTGAGGGGTGATAGGAGAGGGTGATAGGTGAGGGTGAGAGGGTGTGAGAGGGTGATAGTGAGGGAGAGGGTGATAGTGAGGGTGATAGTAGAGGGTTAAGAGGGTTGAGAGAGTGAGAGAGTGAGGGTGAGAGGGTGATAGTGAGGGTGATAGTGAGGGTTGAGAGGGTGATAGTGAGGGTGAGAGGGTGATAGTGAGGGTGAGAGGGTGATAGTGAGGGAAGTCAATCCTTTTTTGACAAGACAGTAAGACGTGTGTTGTTCTGAGAGACCGGAGATGTAGCTCATTGAGCGTTTCACACAAACAAATGTGTAACTTCACAGTTTTACGACACATTTAATTTGTTTTACTTGCAAAATTCTCTTTTAAATTGACAAACATCATATGTGTAATTCGTGGCACAATTCAAACGGGGTCGAAAGATAATCTTTCTCTCCCCATTGACTTCAATACATACTTTTTCAGAAATAAGGTCCCATGGAGGTCCACCGGAAGGGAGGGACTTCGGCTCTCTATAGAATCGAGGGGAAGTTCCTAAAATCCATCTAAACATGACTCATTGGTGAATGAGTGCTGCGCAGCCAGAATGCCCAAAACCGGAAGCTGCGATACACTCTGGTGGCTACTATTAGCAGCTATATATGAAATCTCCGTTTTTGACATAAAAATTGAATGATGGATTATCAGTAATCATTTCAAAGTGACACAGACACATTGGATTAACCATTGGATTAACCTTCAGCAGTGTTTTTATTGTTTTAATGCCATTGAACACGACTATTGATCAGACAACAACAGCTACGGTGAGACGATCTCCCCTGAATGCTCCGTAAAGCTACGTGTTGTGATGTCTGTGTTTGCTTCCCCTGTCGCGAGTTCGGATCGCTCAGTGATGATACTATACCTATAGAATCTGTGGAATTTCTAATCGGATATCTTGTATGTGCAGTTACGATAAGTAATAAGGGTATTTTTACCTTGAGTTCTGTGCTAAGTGCATTAGCATGTTTTCGCTCAGGGCTAATTTAGAAGCTTCTTGTGAGACTTGTGCTTTGTTTCGGTAAAAATGGTTCGTATCATCAGTGAGCTGAGTTTCTAACCGTTAAGTGAGTATGACACATTCATAGATTTTTTAAAACTAAGAAGCCCTGAGACACAGTTTCGTGAAAAAACGACCCGCCGGACCCGGATTAGGGTCCTCTCGGGTTTAACAGGTTAAACCACTTCAGGAGTTCTTCAGGTGATGGAAACTACTTCCTGTCCAGGCTGAAGATGTCGCGGCTCTCAATGAGGATGAACTCTATGATCTGGTTCTGGTACACCATGTTGACGGCCATGTTCCCCCCGTCCAGCTCGGGCCACATCAGCGTGGGCCCGAACACGATGCCGATGCCCTGCGTGGACATCAGGTTCTGCCTGGAGAACGTCAGGACTCTGAAACACAGATGGGTTCATCAGACTCTGAAACACAGATGGGTTCATCGGACACGCGCACACACACACACACATGCACATACACGCACACACACGCACATGCACGCATGCACACGCACACACACACGTGCATACACGCACACGCACACGCACGCACACACGCACACACATGCACGCACACACACACACGCACGCGCGCACACACACCAGGCGTACCTGTGCAGGTGTGAGAACAGCAGCTTCATGGTGTCCTGGTTGGGTCGGGGCAGATCCTGGATCAGTTTCTTAACAGCCTGGACCTTCTGTCTGGAATCTTTAATCTCTGTTCAGGAGAAACACAGCAGACTCTCTTTAGTTTCTGCTTCCTGTTGTTGTTTATCATGTCAACATGTTGTAGTTCTTCCTGTTTACAGTTCTAAACACAGTAAGGGCTGCACAATATATCCAGCATCCGTCACATGGCTTTATCAACATGAGCCGTACAGGTATCACAGAGACTAATCAAAGTATCTTCAGGGTTAGAATATCTGGCCAATCAGATGAGACCTTACTGCTATAGATGTCCCGCCCTAATGTAAAAGTCACACTATTGGCTGAAGGGTGAGTGAGGAAAATAGAGGGGGAAAGAAGCAGAAGAAGCAGGTCAAAGGAACATGTATGTGTTACATAAACGTAAAGTAGTTATCCTGCCCAACTAAACGTGTTAAATCACATGGAGACATCCCATTGGACTAGGGAGATGCTGCCTTCAGGGACCAACAGAAACACAGTAGATTCAGACTAATACACTGTCAGCTGTGACTCACTGACGGCCTCCACAAAGGGCTGGAAGGCTCTGAAGGGGAACAGCGGCTCTGGAAGCTCCCGGAAAAACATCTTCAGAGCTCCAGTGACGACGTGGACGTCTTCCCACTGACTGTGGTCCAGGTCCAGGGCCTCCTCTGGGGGGAAGAAGCATATATTCAATACGTCTGCATGGACACCAATATTAAAAACACATAGAGGGGGAGGAGTACTCTACTATATATCTACTATACTTTAGTAGAAGTACTCAGGTCCTATACTTGAGTAAAAGTAGAAGTACTCAGATCTTGTACTTGAGTAAAAGTAGAAGTACTCAGGTCTTGTACTTGAGTAAAAGTAGAAGTACCAGAGTGTAGGAATACTCTGTTACAGTAAAAGTCCTGCATTCAAAATGTTCCTTAAGTGAAAGTAGAAAAGTATTCTCATCAAAATATAGTGAAAGTAGCGACAGTAAAAGTAGTCATTGTGCAGATTGGTCCATTTCAGAATAATATGATGTGTTTTATAGTTATTGATGCATTAGTGCTGTTTCCTGTGAGACTTCAATGTGTTTCTGATGGAGATCTAACCGACCCTGATCCACCATGAATCGGAGTTTCTGGACGGTCGATAGATTTCCACTGACTCTGTAGATCCCGTCAACGTCCATACCTGAACAAAGAAATACAAGTCAAACCCCTTTCACATGAAACACCTTTAGGAGGCAGGCTCCATGAGGCCGTGTTTCTGCTGTCTCTGTGAACCCACCTCGCTTTTCGATGGCGTCCAAACAGAGCTGAACGAAGCTGGGCACCGTGGACCCCTCTCGCTCACAGAGAGTCAGCAGGTGGCATCCGAACACTCGATCTGAGACGAGACATCAGGCATTCAGACTGGAGTACTGACTGATGGATGATGTTACAACAGGTCTATCATGACGGCTCATTGCAGGTGGGCCGCCAAATCATTTGCAAAACATTATGATTTGTGTGGAAACATTTCATTATTAAGATTTTTTGTTATTTGAACCTCCTTTCTCTTTCTCGATCCTCCTGAGCTACGGTCATTATAGTCCTTAGCAACGGTCATTATAGTACTTAGCAACGGTCATTACAGTCCTTAGCAACGGTCTGTTCTACTGGATTAACAACGTGTCACATGTTCTGAAGGGTCAGAACTTTATTTAGCCTCCGTATTGTTTAGGTTGAATGTGGGCCGCGATCATTTTTAGATTCTTAAGTGGGCCCTGAGTCGGTTGGGAGCCACTGTGTTAGAGGGAGCTCCCTAAAGGGGGGTCACCTTTGATGAGGCCTTTCTCCTGCAGGGTCTTCATGGACGGACGTCTGATGATGAACTTCTTCAGTCGGTTCTTCACTCCGTTCTTGTCGGCGCTGTCCGAGGCGCTGTGTTTCAGCTTGGAGCTGACGAACATATCTGCACAGAAAACATCACAGTTAAAGCGTTAACATGTTTATTTGGTGTCGGACAGGTTCAGCAGAGACGGAGCTACGCGAGCAGCATCTGGACTTTCTCTCTCTGAGTTGGATCTAAAGAGTCGTGATCTGAAGAGTTGGATCTAAAGAGTCGTGATCTGAACAGTTGGATCTAAAGAGTCGTGATTTGAAGAGTTGGATCTAAAGAGTCGTGATCTGAAGAGTTGGATCTAAAGAGTCGTGATCTGAACAGTTGGATCTAAAGAGTCGTGATCTGAACAGTTGGATCTAAAGAGTCGTGATCTGAAGAGTTGGATCTAAAGAGTCGTGATCTGAAGAGTTGGATCTAAAGAGTCGTGATCTGAAGGTCTCTTTAAACCTCTTCAGAGTCTGCAGTATGGAGAATCATTCACAACCCTTTCAGGTGCACCTCGTATATCTCCATCAACTCAACCCTAACCCTGATCGCCTGTAAGATAGTTAAACCTGTCAACACACCAGGACTTCATCCCTTCATCCCTCTCACTCAACTCATCCCTTCACCCATCAAACCCTCCGTCCCTACATCTCTTCACCCTGCCCCCTTTAAACTTCATCCTCAGCCACATCTCTCCACCCATCGACCCTTTCCTCCCTGCATCGTATCCTCCCTTCACCAGTCATTCATTCTATCTCCTCCATGAAATGTAAATAGCAGTGTCTGTCTTCAGAGATATAGTGTTGCTTCTCACTGATGGAGCGCCTGTGAACCGGGTTGCGCTGCTTGGTGTTGGTGGATCCGTGTCCAGGGAGGGAGCTGTGTCTGGGCGGGAACTCTGAGCTGTTGGCCCGCCGCAGAGGGAGTTTACTCTGGAAAGAGAAAGAGTTAGGACCCCATGCAGGCAGGCTTTCCTTCCCACTAGCTGTACTGAAGGTCTCTTTTCAGAATCAAGGTAGTGAGATCTTACGGAAGAGTCGACGGTCTTTCTGATGCCGTCGAACCATTTACTGGCCGTGGAGTAACTCTCCGCCTGAAGGAGGTACTCACTCCCTGTGTGTGTTGTGATCTGGAACACAGGAGCTCAGGTCAGTCTCTTGGATATATACGTATCAGGGTGGCTCAGGGGCGGCTATAGCTCCTGAACCCTTTCAGTGGTAATGAGGTTTTAAACATCAGCTGATTGTTGGAGTTTGACGCTTTGTGTTACCTGGAAGACGTTTTTCCTGCTGGACTTGTCTGGCGTCCACTCGATCACAGCCCCGCACAGCTGGACCACATCTGTCTTACCTCCTGCTTTCTGAACACAAAGATATAAAGTTACTGCTGTCAGGCCCTTCAACAGGACTGAAGACAATGACTTATGAACATGAACCTGAACCTCCCCTCATCCCTTCACCCCTCCACCCTTTGACTCATTCACCCCTCCATCCTTTGACTCCTTCACCCTTACATCCTTCCTAGTTTATTGTGCCTTGTGTTGTCACTTTACAGTTTCACTATGAAGAGAAAGAGGTATGGTAATAGTAAGTATGGAGACACACAAACACACACACACACACACACACACACACACACACACACACACACACACACATTATGTCCTCACCATGCCAGCTTCCTGTTGTCTCTCTTTGTGAAGCAGCAGCTGATCTGAGGTCAGTTCGCCCCACATCCCGGTCCAGTTCTTCCTCTGCTTCTTCCCGCCGTCTGAGATCTTTGCCACATTCAGGAGGTCTCCTTTCAGCTCCTGCACACACACACACACACACACACACACACACACACACACACACACACACACACACACACACACACACACACACACACACACACACACACACACACACACACATACATACACGCACACGCAGACACACATGTACAGACACAGACACAGACACGCACACACACACACACACACACAGACACGCACACACCCACACACAGACACACAGACACACACACACACACACACACACACACAGACACACACACACAGACACGCACACATCCACACACAGACACACAGACACACACACACGCACACACACAGACACACACACACACACACACATGCACACACACACAGACACGCACAGACACACACACAGACACACACACAGACACACACGCACACACACACAGACACGCACACACACACACATGCACACACCCACACACAGACATGCACACACACACGCACACACACACAGACACGCACACACACGCACACACACACACAGACGCACACAATTTGGAGCTTGTAGAGTTTTATACTATCTTTAGGCAGATATTATAGGTCTCAGATATAAGGACATGACTCTGAAGTGTCCTGCTCCAAACCCCAAACAGATCCTTGTAGCCCCCCCCCCCCCCCCTCTCTTCCAGCTGTTACTAAGGACATGTCTCTGAAGTGTCCTGCTCCAAACCCCAAACAGGTCCTTGTAGCCCCCCCCCTCTCTTCCAGCTGTTACTAAGGACATGACTCTGAAGTGTCCTGCTCCAAACCCCAAACAGATCCTTGTAGCCCCCCCCCCCTCTCTTCCAGCTGTTACTAAGGACATGACTCTGAAGTGTCCTGCTCCAAACCCCAAACAGATCCTTGTAGCCCCCCCCCTCTCTTCCAGCTGTTACTAAGGACATGACTCTGAAGTGTCCTGCTCCAAACCCCAAACAGATCCTTGTAGCCCCCCCCCCTCTCTTCCAGCTGTTACTAAGGACATGTCTCTGAAGTGTCCTGCTCCAAACCCCAAACAGACCCTTGTAGCCCCCCCCCTCTCTTCCAGCTGTTACTAAGGACATGTCTCTGAAGTGTCCTGCTCCAAACCCCAAACAGATCCTTGTAGCCCCCCCCTCTCTTCCAGCTGTTACTAAGGACATGACTCTGAAGTGTCCTGCTCCAAACCCCAAACAGATCCCTGTAGCCCCCCCTCTCTTCCAGCTGTTACTAAGGACATGACTCTGAAGTGTCCTGCTCCAAACCCCAAACAGATCCTTGTAGCCCCCCCCCCTCTTTTCCAGCTGTTACTAAGGACATGTCTCTGAAGTGTCCTGCTCCAAACCCCAAACAGATCCTTGTAGCCCCCCCCCCCCTCTCTTCCAGCTGTTACTAAGAACATGTCTCTGAAGTGTCCTGCTCCAAACCCCAAACAGACCCTTGTAGCCCCCCCCCCTCTCTTCCAGCTGTTACTAAGGACATGTCTCTGAAGTGTCCTGCTCCAAACCCCAATCAGATCCTTGTAGCCCCCCCCTCTCTTCCAGCTGTTACTAAGGACATGACTCTGAAGTGTCCTGCTCCAAACCCCAATCAGATCCTTGTAGCCCCCCCTCTCTTCCAGCTGTTACTAAGGACATGTCTCTGAAGTGTCCTGCTCCAAACCCCAAACAGATCCGTGTAGCCCCCCCTCTCTTCCAGCTGTTACTAAGGACATGACTCTGAAGTGTCCTGCTCCAAACCTCAAACAGATCCTTGTAGCCCCCCCCCTCTCTTCCAGCTGTTACTAAGGACATGTCTCTGAAGTGTCCTGCTCCAAACCCCAAACAGACCCTTGTAGCCCCCCCCCCACTCTTCCGTCTGTTACTAAGGACATGTCTCTGAAGTGTCCCGCTCCAAACCCCAAACAGATCCTTGTAGCCCCCCCCCCTCTCTTCCAGCTGTTACTAAGGACATGTCTCTGAAGTGTCCTGCTCCAAACCCCAAACAGATCCTTGTAGCCCCCCCCCCCCCCCTCTCTTCCAGCTGTTACTAAGGACATGTCTCTGAAGTGTCCTGCTCCCAACCCCAAACAGATCCTTGTAGCCCCCCCCCCCCCTCTCTTCCAGCTGTTACTAAGGACATGTCTCTGAAGTGTCCTGCTCCCAACCCCAAACAGATCCTTGTAGCCCCCCCCCCCTCTCTTCCAGCTGTTACTAAGGACATGTCTCTGAAGTGTCCTGCTCCAAACCCCAAACAGATCATTGTAGCCCCCCCCCCCCCCCCTCTCTTCCAGCTGTTACTAAAGTGATGATTCTGGTCCGTAGCTTTACAATATATATTTATATATTTTATATAACTTCCAGAACACGTCTCATTGTTTTCTGACAGCAACGTTTCTGATTGGCCCCTGTGTGTAAAGCCCGCCCACATTTTAGTAATGTCGTCATGACGCAGCAAATCTGGATCAGCTCCAATGTTCCCCCGTTTTTAGAGATGTGGGTACGGAGGAGAAGAGAGAATAATATCTTGAATGTTGACTCACCGGGGGTTCGGCTCCTCCCACCCCGAGGACGCCGTGCTGAGACTGATTCCTGCGATGCCTGGAGATCTACGGGAGAAAACAAAGCGTTCAACAGATCCGTCTGAAGTGTCCTCGCTGCAGGGCGGAGGTTCTGGGTTCTGACTTACAGGGTTCTGCTGCAGGTCGGAGTCTTGCAGCACCATGGATCTGGACTGACTGAGCCGCTCTCCGGAGCTTTGGGAGCTCTTCATTCGCATCTGAACGGCTCCAAGCCGAGGTTCCATCAACAAGGGAGGCTTAGCAGAGATTCTGTGGACCAGCACACAGATTCAAAGATTCAAAGGTGTTCTCATCACATGCTCAGCAGCTACAGAGTAGAAATGGCAATGAGCTCCTCCAACAATGCAACATATATAATAAAATACAAAAATGCAAAATAGTGCAAGAAGTCAATATGCATGTAAATAGAATATGATATGTACAAGAACAGAATATGAAGACAAAATTAAATACGGTTTATTGCGGTGATAACTATTTATATAAACCAGCACACAGGTAAACAACACTCAGGTAAACAACACTCAGGTAACAGCACACAGGTAACAGCACACAGGTAAACAACACTCAGGTAACAGCACACAGGTAAACAACACTCAGGTAAACAACACTCAGGTAACAGCACACAGGTAACAGCACACAGGTAAACAACACTCAGGTAACAGCACACAGGTAAACAACACTCAGGTAAACAACACTCAGGTAAACAACACTCAGGTAACAGCACACAGGTAAACAACACTCAGGTAACAACACTCAGGTAACAGCACACAGGTAAACAACACACAGGTAAACAACACTCAGGTAACAACACACAGGTAAACAACACTCAGGTAACAGCACACAGGTAAACAACACTCAGGTAACAGCACACAGGTAAACAACACTCAGGTAAACAACACTCAGGTAACAGCACACAGGTAAACAACACTCAGGTAAACAACACTCAGGTACCAGCACTCAGGTACCAGCAGCACTCACTGCACTCAGGTAAACAACACTCAGGTACCAACACTCAGGTAACAGCACACAGGTAACAACACTCAGGTAAACAACACTCAGGTAACAGCACACAGGTAAACAAAACACAGGTAAACAACACTCAGGTAACAGCACACAGGTAAACAACACTCAGGTAACAGCACACAGGTAAACAACACTCAGGTAACAGCACACAGGTAAACAACACTCAGGTAAACAACACTCAGGTAACAGCACACAGGTAAACAACACTCAGGTAAACAACACTCAGGTACCAGCACTCAGGTACCAGCAGCACTCACTGCACTCAGGTAAACAACACTCAGGTAACAGCACACAGGTAAACAACACTCAGGTAACAGCACTCAGGTAAACAGCACACAGGTAAACAACACTCAGGTAAACAACACTCCGGTAAACAACACTCAGGTAACAGCACACAGGTAAACAACACTCAGGTAACAACACTCAGGTAACAGCACACAGGTAAACAACACACAGGTAAACAACACTCAGGTAACAGCACACAGGTAAACAACACTCAGGTAAACAACACTCAGGTAACAGCACACAGGTAAACAACACTCAGGTAACAGCACACAGGTAAACAACACTCAGGTAACAGCACACAGGTAAACAACACTCAGGTAAACAACACTCAGGTAACAGCACACAGGTAAACAACACTCAGGTAAACAACACTCAGGTACCAGCACTCAGGTACCAGCAGCACTCACTGCACTCAGGTAAACAACACTCAGGTACCAACACTCAGGTAACAGCACACAGGTAACAACACTCAGGTAAACAACACTCAGGTAAACAACACTCAGGTACCAACACTCAGGTAACAGCACACAGGTAACAACACTCAGGTAAAAAACACTCAGGTAAACAACACTCAGGTACCAGCACACAGGTACCAGCAGCACTCACTGCACTCAGGTAACAACACTCAGGTGAACAACACTCAGGTAAACAACACACAGGTAAACAACACTCACTGCACTCAGGTACCAGCAGCACTCACTGCACTCAGGTGAGCCACAGCTGCACAGGTAGCAGTTACAAACTCTAATTCAGAGAAAATTCTGATATTTTTCTTAGAATTCTGACTTTTGTTCAAATTCAGAAATATTTCTCAGAATTCAAACTTTCCTGAAAAGTCTGAAAAGTTTTAACCGCGATTCGAGTAAAATAACGATTCCACAGAATTCAGTATTTTCTCGAAATGATGACTTTTATTGTGACTTGTTTTCTTCCCTTATTGTGACATTGAACCTGTGGAATAGGAGGTGTTTAGTGGGTGAGCTTTAGTGAAGCGTAGCAGCTGGTCTTCATGTGTTCGGCAGGCCTTACACAACACCGTCAGCTGTGAGTGCACAACCATACCCACATTAAAAACAAAGCTCACCCAACAGTGGAAAATAGGTCTAGAGGATTGTAGAGCCAATCAGAGCAGGCCGAGGCATCTTAGATAACAATCCCATTTAAAGGATCGTGGCCGTTCATTTGTTTCCGTCCCGCACAGAGGAGGTCGGAAGTTTGACATTTTGATGTTGAAAACTCAAACCTACGACTTTGACCTGCGCCATGACAAACCCTCAGAACCAGGAAACAAAATGCAGCCCTCTTTCCGGAAGCAGGAAGCGTTCTGTCTCTGTACCACAGATCATAAACTGCTCATCTGAAGTCCCTAACACCTGTATTATCAGACCACACACACACACTGAACACACACCAAGAGAGGCAGAGTGTGATCCAGAGCACAGCAGGGAGTCCAGGCCGGGCGTCACTCACTCCCATCAACAAGAGTCCCAACCTCTGGTGACTTAGACCAGTCTGACACCAAACCATTGAGAATAATATCAGTTGAATGCGATCTCACCGTGAACCCGCCATCGGTGTGCGATCAGAGTCCTGACAGTTAGAGGAAGTGAGATTCATCACGTGGTTTCTCTTCAACTGCTGCAACCTCGTCGTTTCCTGGAGACTGAAAGAGTGTAACCTCAGCCTCTCTGCGAGCCGACGCGCTGCTCACGTTGTAATGTTGGTTTCTGGATGGTTCACATAATCAATGCATCTGTTTGAGTTCCTCTCTGAGTCTCTGAGTCTCAGCAGGACTTTAGCATCGCCTCAGAGTCTCTGGTGGACTCGCGTGTTACACACTGCTGCAGTTCATCTGTCTGGGAGCTGTTGAGAAACCCTTTTGAGGAAGTAACTGAGTTTTGGTTGTAAGGAAGAGGTTAAGGGCCAAAAAAAGAGAGACGTCAACGAAGTAAAAACAAACCGTAAGTTCTGTAATTAAAGTCAGAACGCTCACTTTATAATAAATAAAAACAAATTCTAACAATTTCCAAAGAAATTCAAATTCAGACTTTTTTCCTCAGAATTTTCCACTTTTTTGTCAAAAATCATTTGTTTTCTCAAAATACTAAATTTGTTCTCAAAATGTTACTATTTTTCAAAAAAATCTATTTTTGTTCTCAAAATTCTGAATAACTCACAAACTCTAAATTTACAAAAATTCTAAATTCACATAAACTCTAAATTCACTAAACTCTAAATTCACATAAACTCTAAATTCACACAAACTCTAAATTCACATAAACTCTAAATTCACATAAACACTAAATTCACATAAACTCTAAATTCACATAAACTCTAAATTCACATAAACACTAAATTCACATAAACACTAAATTCACATAAACTCTAAATTCACATAAACTCTAAATTCACACAAACTCTAAATTCACTAAAACTCTAAATTCACATAAACTCTAAATTCACATAAACACTAAATTCACATAAAACACTAAATTCACATAAACTCTAAATTCACATAAACTCTAAATTCACTAAAACTCTAAATTCACTAAAACTCTAAATTCACTAAAACTCTAAATTCACATAAACTCTAAATTCACATAAACTCTAAATTCACATAAACTCTAAATTCACTAAAACTCTAAATTCACATAAACTCTAAATTCACATAAACTCTAAATTCACACAAACTCTAAATTCACATAAACTCTAAATTCACAAAAACTCTAAATTCACATAAACTCTACATTTACAAACTCTAAATTCACACAAACTCCTAAATTCACATAAACTCTAAATTCACTCAAACTCTAAATTCACTAAAACTCTAAATTCACATAAACTCTAAATTCACATAAACTCTAAATTCACATAAACTCTAAATTCACTAAAACTCTAAATCCACTAAAACTCTAAATTCACATAAAACTCTAAATTCACATAAACTCTAAATTCACACAAACTCTAAATTCACATAAACTCTAAATTCACATAAACTCTAAATTCACACAAACTCTAACTTCCCATAAACTCTAAATTCCCATAAACTCTAAATTCACACAAACTCTAAATTCACATAAACTCTAAATTCACATAAACTCTAAATTCACATAAACTCTAAATTCACACAAACTCTAAATTCACATAAACTCTAAATTCACATAAACTCTAAATTCACAAACTCTAAATTCACATAAACTCTAAATTCACATAAACTCTAAATTCACATAAACTCTAAATTCCCATAAACTCTAAATTCACATAAACTCTAAATTCACATAAACTCTAAATTCACATAAACTCTAAATTCACATAAACTCTAAATTCACTAAAACTCTAAATTCACATAAACTCTAAATTCACATAAACTCTAAATTCACATAAAATCTAAATTCACATAAACTCTAAATTCACATAAACTCTAAATTCACAAAAACTCTAAATTCACATAAACTCTAAATTCACATAAACTCTAAATTCACTAAACTCTAAATTCACATAAACTCTAAATTCACATAAACTCTAAATTCACATAAACTCTAAATTCACATAAACTCTAAATTCACATATACTCTAAATTCACATAAACTCTAAATTCACATAAACTCTAAATTCACATAAACTCTAAATTCACATAAACTCTAAATTCACTAAAACTCTAAATTCACTAAAACTCTAAATTCACATAAACTCTAAATTCACAAAAACTATAAATTCACATAAACTCTAAATTCACATAAAACTCTAAATTTACATAAACTCTAATTCACATAAACTCTAAATCAACGAAACTCTAAATTCACATAAACTCTAAATTCACTAAACTAACTCTCAATTCATAAACTCTAAATTCACATAAACTCTAAATTCACATAAACTCTAAATTCACATAAACTCTAAATTCACATAAACTCTAAATTCACTAAAACTCTAAATTCACTAAACTCTAAATTTACATAAACTCTAAATTCACATAAACTCTAAATTCACATAAACTCTAAATTCACATAAACTCTAAATTCACATAAACTCTAAATTCACATAAACTCTAAATTCACAAAAACTCTAAATTCACATAAACTCTAAATTCACATAAACTCTAAATTTACATAAACTCTAAATTCACATAAACTCCAAATTCACATAAACTCTAAATTCACATAAACTCTAAATTCACACAAACTCTAAATTCACTAAAACTCTAAATTCACATAAACTCTAAATTCACATAAACTCTAAATTCACATAAACTCTAAATTCACATAAACTCTAAATTCACATAAAATCTAAATTCACATAAACTCTAAATTCACATAAACTCTAAATTCACATTAACTCTAAATTCACTAAAACTATAAATTCACATAAACTCTAAATTCACATAAACTCTAAATTCACATAAACTCTAAATTCACATAAACTCTAAATTCACATAAACTCTAAATTCACAAAAACTCTAAATTCACATAAACTCTAAATTCACATAAACTCTAAATTTACATAAACTCTAAATTCACATAAACTCTAAATTCACAAAAACTCTAAATTCACATAAACTCTAAATTCACATAAACTCTAAATGTACATAAACTCTAAATTCACACAAACTCTAAATTCACTAAAACTCTAAATTCACATAAACTCTAAATTCACTAAAACTCTAAATTCACACAAACTCTAAATTCACACAAACTCTAAATTCACATAAACTCTAAATTCACATAAACTCTAAATTCACTAAAACTCTAAATTCACATAAACTCTAAATTCACATAAACTCTAAATTCACATAAACTCTAAATTCACATAAACTCTAAATTCACATAAACTCTAAATTCACACAAACTCTAAATTCACTAAAACTCTAAATTCACATAAACTCTAATTCACATAA